CCAGGCGCAGGCGGCTCTCGTGGTCCAGGCCCAGGCCCAGGTGGCTCTCGTGGTCCGGGCCCAGGCACAGGTGGCTCTCGTGGTCCAGGCCCAGGTGGCTCTCGTGGTCCGGGCCCAGGCGCAGGCGGCTCACATGCTGGGCATCACATGATGCCACCAAGAGGAAGTCCCCTGCCTTCCCTTGAGCCCGGGCACACGTCCCCCCCATCCCCAGGTTCTGGCTTTTCTGGAGTGTGGTGGCCGGAGTTGGACAGTGTGCAGCCTTTTGAGACTGGTGAAGTGTCTGCTTAGGCTCTTGGCCACGCGTCTTTCACAGGTCATGGCTCCGCTTTTGGTGGTAAAAAATGACCCTCTGGGTGTCCCTCCACCGTGGAAGGACGTCTTGGCGTCTTCTATGATTTGACAACTGTGATGAAGTCGCTATAAACACTAGGCATCCGTCTTTGCATGGCCTGATTTCAAGTTCATGTGGGAAACACCAAGAAGTGACTAGCTGTGGGCGATGTGAAGGTAACACCACTTAAAAACTGCAGAGGGCGCCAGGCGCCGGTGGCTCACGCCTGTCATCCTAGCTACTCAGGAGGCTGAGATCTGAGGATCGTGGTTCAAAGCCAGCCTGGGCAGGAAACTCCTCTTATCTCCAATAGACCACTAGAAAACCAGAAGTGGCGCTGTGGCTCAAGTGGTAGAGCACTAGTCTTGTGCTGAAGAGCTGAGGGACAGCGCCCAGGCCCAGAGTTTAAGCCCCACAACCAACAAAAAACAAAAACCCAAAAATCTGCAGAGGGCTGGGAAGGTGGCCCAGTGTTAAGAGTGCTTGCCTAGCATGCATGAAGCCCTGGGTTCGATTCCTCAGCACCACAAACACAGAAAAGGCCCAAAGTGGCACCGTAGCTCAAGTGGTAGAGTGCTAGCCTTGAATTAAAAAACTCAGGGACAGCGCCCAGGCCCTGAGTTCAAGCCCCAGGACCGGTACACACACGCACACACACACACACACACGCACGCAAGCACGCACACAAAGTGGTGACTGGTGGAAAGCCTGGGCTTGGGACAGGACCAGTGACTTCCCCATTGGACTGGGTGCTCAGGCCTGCCCTGCTGGCCAGGCTGGGGTGACAGATGCAAACCCCAACATCTCTGCCATGTGAGCGGCAGACTTCAAACACACGACCCAGCGGCCATCATGCCCTCAGCCCTCATTGGGTTGGCCATTCTCTGCCTCTACCGATGTGGGGCAGTGTGAGACTCGGTGGCCACCAGAGTCAGTCCAGCCCCAGGAGCGAGGCTGAGGGCGGGGCAGGCCAGGGCAGCCACGAGGCCGTCCTGGCCTTGGGCCTACGCACTGCTCCAGGCACCAGCACGGTCAAAGGTCTCCTGACCACCTGCATACTCTCCTGGCTAGAAGACTTCCTAGGGATGATACCGCTGACCTTTCTGGGGCCTGTGACGCCCCTCGGGGCTGTGTGTAGTAGCGGCAAGTGCTCTGATAGGGCCGTGGACCAAGCGAGGGCCTTGTCAAATCCTCCGGGAAACAATGGTCTGGTGGACTTGCTATTACAGAGGCTCTGTCAGCAATGGGTGAGTAAGGCCACCCCCAAACCCTGGGGGAGCAAGTGGACAAGGCTACCCCCAACCATTGTGAAACGGAGGGGGGCACCCTCAAACGCCACAGGAACTGGAGGGAAACTGAGGTCCTGTGCAGAGGCACTCTCCTGCCCAGAAAGGGGGGCACGAGGGGGACGGAGTTCAGACAGAGGAGCAGAGTGGACCAGCCAACAGCTTCACCGCCAAGGAGCGGCCCAAGCCAGGCGGCCTGAGATGAAGGCACGGCGGTTGTCTCTCCAGCTCCACCCTCAGCTCTGTGGCTCCCCAGGAGCAGGGCAGGGCCCCCCCTTCTCCCTCCCAGAGCACACAGAGCTGCCCGGCCGACCTCTCTCCAGCACAGCTGCCTCCCACAGGTGAGCAGCGCAAGCGCAGGGCACCGCGTCCCGGACGCGGGGTTCATAATTCACCAGTGGGTTTCTGTGCAGGGAAGGCACTCGCGTGCATTAGGAAACCCCCAAAGGCCAGCCCGCGTCACTGACAAGCTCCTGAAGTGCGGACACCGGCACGGCTGTGCCCCGCCCCACACACGGTGAGCGCAGCACGCTTCCTGACACACTGCCCGCTCCCTGAAGCCGCCTGGGCGGGCCAGCGCGAGCCCAGCCCTCCCGAGCCTGGGAGCCAGGCCGCGCCCTGCGCCAGCGCCTGGTCCTCACCTCGCAGGTTCTTGACAAAGTCCTCCAGCTTCATCTTCCGCTCGGGCTTGACGTTGGGGCTGTACATGTCGGTGTTGAGCAGGATGATGGCGAAGGCCAGGATGAAGATGGTGTCTGGGTTCCGGAACTGCCTCACCACCCCAGGGTTGCAGATGCAGTAGCGCTGGCTGAGGGGAGACAGCTGGCCAGGGCCCTCCGGTGTCACCCCGTCCCCAGCCCAGGAGGGGGCTCACCCATGGACTGCGAGCAGACTTGAGGGGAGCACCCCGAAGCTCTGCCCCTGTCCCCCCTGTGGTGAGGATCCCATGCGGAGGCATGGAGCCAGGCATGGAGCTGTGCCCCAGCCCACGGGGGACGTTCTGCTTCATCACAACCTTCCCCCCCCCCTTCCTCTAGGTCCTCCGGGAAGCACCCTGGGGGGCTGACCCCCTCCTCACCCCCGCCCTTCCTCCGGGGCCTCCGGGAAGCACCCTGGGGGGCTGACCCCCTCCTCACCCCCTGCCCTTCCTCCAGGGCCTCCTGCATCCCAGGGTCCTCCGGGAAGCGCCCTGGGCTGTGAGCAGACCCTGTCCGAGGCCTCCCGTGTCCTCACTCCCGGCCGCCCGGCGCTGACGCGGTCTGCACAGTCACAGCGCAGCTGGACCCTGCCCCCCCCGCCGTGCCAGCTGCCCGGCTCGGCCGGTCCCCAAACCCCAGGCCGCTTCTCCCTTCCCCACTCCTGTAGGGCCATGCTACCGCTCCCCCTCCTCATGGTGAGGAGAGGGCCCGAGAGCCTTCTGGACGCATGCGCGCTGACATGAAGGGAGCCAAGGGTCTGCATCCACGCGCGGGCCAAGCCGACCCCGCGGAACCTGCCCGGGCTCACGGGGCTGACCTGAACGCCTCGATGAGCCGCTCCACCTTCTGGGCCTCCCCTTGGACGCGGATGTGTGCCTGGAACCTTCTGAGGGCCTCGTCCAGCTCCATGGCAGAGAAGTCCATCTCGTCCACCACGCAGCTGGAACAGAGGCAGTGGCCAGCGTGAGAACCCGGGTGCCTTTCCGCCAGCAGCGTGGGGCCCTGGCGCCCCCCGTCAGCGAGCAACACCTCAGAATCTTCCAAAAAGCTCTTGTGCTTCCAAGGAGCCCTTGCACCCCAAGCCCACGGGAGACATCAGCGCCACGTGTGTGGTTTTCTGCACTGTGGTGGCACACCCCCCCGGCTGCCAGGGTCCGTGGCCTTCTGCGGGGGAGAGGCCCTGGCGGGAGGTGGGCACGGGCAGCACCGCAGGGCGCAGGCTCTGCCCTCACCCGGACGGGGCCAGCTGACACTGCAGAGACACTCGCATTAACCACACCCATCTGTGGGGCGGAACTGGAGCTTCTGACTGTCCCTACCCCAGAGACGGCTCGCATGCCTCCCGAGCGAGCGAGCCGAGCGCTGAGAGGTGGGTGCGGCAGGCCTGTCTCAGGTGCCGGTGCCTCCCGAGCGAGCGAGCGAGCGCTGAGAGGTGGGTGCGAGGTGGGTGCGGCAGGCCTGTCTCAGGCGCCGGTGCCTCCCGAGCGAGCGAGCCAAGCGCTGAGAGGTGGGTGCGAGGTGGGTGCGGCAGGCCTGTCTCAGGCGCCGGTGCCTCCCGAGCGAGCGAGCGAGCGAGCGCTGAGAGGTGGGTGCGGCAGGCCTGTCTCAGGCGCCGGTGCCTGTTCACAGCCGCGGCCACCATCGGCACAGTGGGTACGAGAGCCTTGCCAGGGCCACAGCCTGGGGCTGCTGTTGGGCAGCTCTCCAGGAAGGCAGGAGCAGGTGGACAGCTTGCTGGGCTGGGGGCCTTGCTGCTTCCTTGGGCCATTGCTATTTTCTGAGGGAGAACAATGCACGGATTTCCTGTGGCCAGGAACCGCGGAGGGGCCGGGCAGGATGGCTGCAGAGCTGGGCCTGGGCTGCGCTGCCACCATGTCGCCAAGAACGAGTCTGAATTCAGAGAGGAAAGAAAGGCGGCCACGGCCACCCCAGGGCGGGCCAGGAAAGGGTGCAAAGTACGAGCACGGGACGAGCCCCGCTGGGGGTCTGATCAGAGGCGCACCAGCGCTGCTGAGGCCTGCCGCGCACTCAGCCCCCCAACTCCCGTGTGTCTGGGTTCATGTGCAGCACGGGCTGCGGCTGCATGAGCACACACATGCTGGGGGGCCCTGGCTCGACCGTGGTGTCCAGCCTGTGGAACAAAGAGGGACGGCACTGGCCACCGGATCCTGGACACTAGGGATGCTTGCGGAGCCCAGACCACTCACCAGATGCCCTCCCCGGCTGGTCCCCTTCTCTACGAGGGCAAGGGCTGGCCCATGGAAGAAGAGACACACTGGACGCTGTGCGTGACTTCCAGCCCTGGTCTGTCGGACCCTAGTCTGTCTCTATTGGGTTCCAATATTCCTCAGACCCAGGGCTGGGGTTCCTGCTCCCCAGGGGGCGTGCACGCCGCCTCCTGCTACTACTGACAGCCCAGGGCCCTTCTGCTCAGCACTGTGCACAGGAGACGGGAGAGCTGCAAGGCAGACACCTGACGGAACTTCTCAAACAGGAAGCGAGGCTTCCGGAAGGAGCCAGGTGCTCACTTCTCTACAAGGTTTCCGTGTCACATTCACGCTCAGGGCTGCCGGAGGTGCAGACCAGGAGCACAAGGCAGGGGCGAAGCTGGAGCTGGCTATCCACCGGGGACAGCCCCCTTGGCCCGTGCTAGAGGGGTGGCGGCCAGGCCTCCAGTTGGGGGCCACTGCCCCGTCCTGACCCCAATGGCCACACGGCTTGCCTCAGGGTGAGGTTGAACTAACCGTGCATGGAGGGAGTGGGAATTGAAGTGAGACAGCTGGGCCAGGGCGGGGTGTGGATGAACCAAGCAGCACATGTGTAGGGCCCATTGTGTGTGCAAGCACATGTGCATGCGCACATCTATGCGCCCATGGGGGTACGCCCCTCAGGACAGATGGCCCTCTGCCTCCTCCACTCCACTCGCTTGGATCCAGCCATGACCCAACCTCATGGGCCACACAGACAAACCGTTTCCTGGTCCTAGTCCCTAATCCACAGCATGCCAGCACTGGCCTCAGTGTGATGTTACAGGCAGCATTCAGGGGTTGTGTGAACTAGAGGGGCATGAGCACCGGAGGCCTCTGGGGGGAGGGGGTGGTGGTCTGGGCGCTCTCTGGGCGTATGAGGGACTGCTGATGCGTGCCCGGCCTGTGTGTGCGTGTGACAGCTGAAGTGTACTAAGCCCTGTGAGTATGACAGCCGTGTGTGTGCCCGGCCTGTGTGTGAGCGCGGCAGCTGTGTGTGAGGCCTGGCCCAAGTGTGAGTGTAACAGCTGTGTGTGTGCCCGACCCGTGTGTGAGCGCGGCAGCCGTGTGTGCGTGCCCTGCCCGTGTGTGAGTGTAACAGCCGTGTGCGTGGCCTGGTCCCCTACGTGAGCATGGCAGCCGTGTGTACGTGGCCTGGTCCCCTGTGTGAGCGTGGCAGCCGTGTGTGCGTGGCCTGGCCTGTGTGAGCGTGGCAGCCATGTGTGCGTGGCCTGGCCTGTGTGAGCGTGGCAGCCGTGTGCGTGGCCTGGTCCCCTGGGTGAGCGTGGCATCCGTGTGTGCGTGGCCTGGCCTGTGTGTGAGTGTGGCAGCCGTGTGTGTGGCCTGGCCCGTGTGTGAGTGTGGCAGCTGTGTGCGTGGCCTGGCCCGTGTGTGAGTGTGGCAGCTGTGTGCGTGGCCTGGCCCGTGTGTGAGTGTGGCAGCCGTGTGTGTGTGGCATGGCCTGTGTGTGAGCGTGGCAGCCGTTTGCGTGGCCTGGCCCATGTGTGAGTGTGGCAGCCGTGTGCGTGGCCTGGCCCGTGTGTGTGTGGCAGCTGTGTGTGCGTGGCCTGGCCTGTGTGTGAGTGTGGCAGCCGTGTGCATGGCCTGGCACTTGTGTGAGTGTGGCAGCCGTGTGCGTGGCCTGGCCCATGTGAGTGTGGCAGCCGTGTGCGTGGCCTGGCCTGTGTGTGAGTGTGGCAGCCGTGTGCATGGCCTGGCCCCTGTGAGTGTGGCAGCCGTGTGCGTGGCCTGGCCCGTGTGTGAGGGTGGCAGCCGTGTGCGTGGCCTGGCCCGTGTGTGAGTGTGGCACCCATGTGCGTGGCCTGGCCCGTGTGTGAGTGTGGCAGCCGTGTGTGTGTCCTGGCCCCGTGTGTGTATGGAAGCTGTGTGTGGCCTGGCCCGTGTGTGAGGGTGGCAGCCGTGTGCGTGGCCTGGCCCCGTGTGCAGCATGCCAGGCCCCGTGTGTGTGAGTGCCAGGCCCGCATCCCTATGCCCGCATCCGTCCCCAGGCCCGGCCCGGGACTCACTCGAGCACGTCGCGGTTGAACTGCTTCTGTCGGTTGCCCAGGAACTCGCCGATCATCTGGCGGCTGAGGCCCTTGCGCTGCAGCAGGAAGTGGGCCACGCCCACAGGCGTGTCAGGCACAAAGCCTCGTTCGATGAGGTACTGGACACCCTTCTCGGGCTTCCTGTGGGAGATGAGAAGCATTGTCAGCCCAGACTGCCGGCCCCAGGGACGGGTCCAACGCTGCTCCCACGGCCTGCTCCAGCCGTCTCTGGGCTACTCGTGAATGCCCGGATGACCTCCAGGCCTCTTGTCCTGTCCACTCCCCAGCCCAAACCTTCATCCAGAACATGCCCAGGCAGGTCGGACTGGGCTGGTGCTGGGACCCTTGGCCCCGCCTCCATGGCCCAGCCTCAGACCTTAACGATCCCCCATGCCTGGCCCACCTCCGCCTGTGGCCAGGACTGCAGACTACGGCAGTGAAGAACCCGATTCCACAATACAGAGCATCCTCTGCCAGGCCCCACTGGGCCGCCAGTGGGAGCTCTGCCAGCACCCAGGACAGGGCACCCAGGACGGGGCACCGTGAGGAAAGAAGGGGCTGGCTTCGGACTTGCTCTGAGGGTGAAGGAATGGGACAGCTGGGTGTGCTGGCCACGGAGACCGGGATGAGGAGGCGAGAGTTCAGGGCGGCTCCAGTCTCAGCCCACGCCCAGCAGAGAGAGACCACGTCCACATGGACCCAAAGCCCAGGGGCTGAAGAGCAGGAGTGGGACCCGGGAGGACGCGGTGTGGACAGGAGGCTCAGGGGCTGCGTGCGGCCCTGGGCAAGGGAGGGGTGATCTCACCCCTACACCACACCCCAGGCTCTCTTCCTGCCTCTTACGCGTGGTTCGGACCAGCCCTGTGAGAGCTGACTGGCACACTCTGCCATCCACAGCCGCCCACTTCCGCGTTCCGGGCCGGGGGGCACTGAGACGCGCAGGTGGGTTGGCTGGGCCCACAGCACCACCCCTCGCCTGCGGCAGGCCCACAGCACCACCCCTCACCTGCGGCCGGTCGGCCTGGGCCAGCTCTGGAGAGGGGGGGGAGGCAGATTCTGGCTCCAGGGGGACAGGGACGCCCAGAAGGAGCCGGCTCCTCCCTCTGGGTCTCTTGTCACATCGTGACTTGGCTGCGTGCTCCTGGGTGAGGGCAAGGCAGCGCGGGGCCCTGAAGCCACCCCCCCCCCTCCAAGACAGCTCCTGGCCTCGGCCAGGTGGGAGCCAGCTGCCGATCCCCAAGCCCGCCCATGAGCCGTGTCCCCGTGGCCATGTGTGGCGGCACCCTGCGCCGCTGCCTCCCTCCCGCCCCGCCCAGGCCGCGCCAGCACCCAGAGCCCACTGTCTTGCGCACTGCCACAGGCTGTGTCCCCGCAGCCCAGAGCTGGCCTCTGCCCTGACTCGGGGCCTCTCCTGCTGGCAGACACGGGCAGAAGCTGGAGAGACTGGAGGCCACAGGAGCGCGGGTGCCAAGCTCACCTCCTCCCAGAGCCACCCTGAGGCCCCGTGCCGGGGCTGCAAGTGGCCCCCAGCCCAGCTACTGGCCAACACCAGAGAGGACACTGGGGGTTTTCCAGGTCTCGACCTGGGGAAGCCATGCTCCATACAGACCTCAGAGGCCACACGGGGTCTGTAGGCACCTAGGAACTCCTCAGGGAGAAGGCTGAGGCCGGCAGCTCCCACACGCAGCGCCGGCAGAAGGGCTGTGGCAAGGCCGCAGGGCCCGGCACCGTCCTTCCAGCCGGGCCGACCAGACCATCCCCGGTCCTGCAGGGCCGCGGTCACCTTCCATCTCTCGTGCACTTCTAGGCTGTAGCTCCGGCTCCCTGAGGTGCCTGTATCAAGCTCCGATTGTGGGATCGCAAGGGCCACGTGGCTGCTAGGGTCTTCTCACACTTAGCCCAAGGGGGGCCACCCTCTGGGGTGCGACTGGCAGGCCCTGCAGACCCCTCTCAGAGGCCTCAGCTGTCCCCGTCCACACGGGGCTGAAGACCCAGGGTGCGGGCGGCACAGGGCTCGCAGGGCAGAGCGGCGCCATACGGGAAGCAGGATCCCAACACCTAGAGGCCTGGGTCTAAGCGTTTCTGAATGCGGTTTTCCTTAAGCTGTGGGCTCCACAGCCATCAGGTACACTCCGGGCACTCGGGGCAGGCCCTGAGGCCTGGAGTACCGGCCTAGCCCCTGGAGACAGGATCCCTGCCCTTCACGGCCACCTCATGCCCAAAGTCTGCTCTGATCACGGAAGCTTTTGGGCCTGGCACTGGACACATGGTGCCCACTGCTGCTGCTGAGGGCTGGCCAGTCTAGCTGTTGCCGGCCTCCTTATGGTAGGTCTGCCTCTGAGCGTGGGCTCCCGCACGCTGTCCCTGGACAAGACTCAGAGCTGCAGTTAATGGTGTCATTGGAGTTGGACGTGCTGTGGCTGTCATGTGCAGGAGCGTGCAGGCACATGCAGGCGTGTGCAGGTGTGCAGTCACATGCAGGCGTGTGCAGACACGTGTAGGTGTGCAGGAGTGCACGCATGTGCAGGTGTGTGCAGGCGCATGCAGGTGTGTGCAGGCGCGTGCAGGTGTGTGCAGACGTGTGCAGGTATGCAGGAGCGTGCAGATGTGTGCAGGGACGTACAGGAGCGTGCAACGTGTGCAGAGCGTGCAGGTGTGTGCAGGAATGTGCTGTGCAGGAGCGTGCAGGAGCGTGCAGGTATGCAGTCACGTGCAGGCATGTGCAGTCGCGTGCAGACGCGTGTAGGTGTGCAGGAGTGTGCAGGCATGTGCAGGTGTGTGCAGGTGCATGCAGGCGTGTGCAGGCACGTGCAGGAGTGTGCAGACGTGTGTAGGTGTGCAGGAGTGTGCAGGCATGTGCAGGCGTGTGCAGATGCGTTTAGGTGTGCAGGAGTGTGCAGACATGTGCAGGCGTGTGCAGTCGCGTGCAGACGCGTGTAGGTGTGTAGGAGTGTGCAGGCATGTGCAGGTGCATGCAGGCGTGTGCAGGCACGTGCAGGAGTGTGCAGATGTGTGCTGGCGCGTGCAGGTATGTGCAGGCGCGTGCAGACGTGTGCAGGTATGCAGGAGCGTGCAGGTGTGTGCAGGAGCGTGCTGTGCATGAGCGTGCAGGTGTGCAGGCACGTGCAGGTGCGTGCAGACATGTGCAGGTATGCAGGAGCATGCAGATGTGTGCAGGGACGTACAGGAGCGTGCAACGTGTGCAGAGCGTGCAGGTGTGTGCAGGCGCGTGCTGTGCAGGAGCGTGCAGGAGCGTGCAGGCACGTGCAGGTGTGTGCAGGCGCGTGCAGGCACATGCAGGCGCACACAGCAGCTGGCACTGATGGGCAGCGGTGGGGGGAGGGGGACCCAGCTCCTCGTGAACACTAACCCGTCACCCTCACTGTGAGGACACATCTGCCCGGGGCGCTCAGTTCCACTTCCAGCTGTGGTCTCCAGTCCCTCCCAGCCTCCCATGGCAAACTGCGGTGATGGCCGCCGCGGCCAGCACCCGCCTGCTTCCAGCCTCAGCCAAGGCAGCCAGCATCACAGGATGGCAGCAAATACTTTGGACCCTGGCGGTCCAGGCTTCCACACGCTCCAGGGCCGGTGCCCCTGATCACAGGTGTGGAGCCAGAGGTGGGCTGCTCCAGAGAACAGACCAGAAGCGGGGTGAGGGTCTGGAGCCAGGTAGACTGCCCTTAACTGTGGCCACTACTGTTCCTAATGGCTGGGTGCACACACAGACAGAAAGATCTGGAAGGAGAGACTACACGTCACAGAGGTGCTGCCGAGCCACCTCATCTCCACTCCGGCCTCTCCCTGTCCACTCTACTGGACCCCAGTTATTCCTGGTTCCCTCCCAGGGCACTCGCCCGGGCCAGGGGGTGGCCAGGAGCAGCAGGGGCTGACTTAGGACATGCCCTTTCACCCCCTCTGCTCTGGGGCGGGGTGCGGAGGTCCTGTGTGCTGCAGGCCACACGCAAAGGGGTCACAGGAGCCACAGCCCTAGCAGGAGCGAGGGGTCCAAGATTCCTAGCTCCTGGCGAGACTAGGAGACCCAGCAGTGAACCACAGCTCTCCGCTGCCCCTCCGCCCAGGGCTGGGGGCCAGGCCAGCCACTGACACCCCATCCAGTGCTTCGCCTGAACCAGTGCCACGTCACCACCCTGTGGCCCTTCAGGGACACTCCCGGGTGCGGGCCTCGCGCTCTGTCAGCCCCGGGCCGGGGTGGCGTGGAAGCCCAGGGCTCAAGGCCTCTGAGGGCGCTCCTCCCTCCTCCCCTTCCACTCTGAGGGTGCTCCATCCTCCCTCCCCTTCCACTCTGAGGGTGCTCCCACTCTGAGGGTGCTCCATCCTCCCTCCCCTTCCACTCTGAGGGTGCTCCATCCTCCCTCCCCTTCCACTCTGAGGGTGCTCCCCCTCCCTCCCCTTCCACTCTGAGGGTGCTCCATCCCCCCTCCCCTTCCACTCTGAGGGTGCTCCATCCTCCCTCCCCTTCCACTCTGAGGGTGCTCCTCCCTCCCCTTCCACTCTGAGGGTGCTCCTCCCTCCCTCCCCTTCCACTCTGAGGGTGCTCCATCCTCCCTCCCCTTCCACTGAGGGTGCTCCATCCTCCCTCCCCTTCCACTCTGAGGGTGCTCCTCCCTCCCTCCCCTTCCAATCTGAGAGTGCTCCTCCCTCCCCTTCCACTCTGAGGGTGCTCCTCCCTCCCTCCCCTTCCACTCTGAGGGTGCTCCTCCCTCCCCTTCCACTCTGAGGGTGCTCCTCCCTCCCTCCCCTTCCACTCTGAGGGTGCTCCATCCTCCCTCCCCTTCCACTGAGGGTGCTCCATCCTCCCTCCCCTTCCACTCTGAGGGTGCTCCTCCCTCCCTCCCCTTCCAATCTGAGAGTGCTCCTCCCTCCCCTTCCACTGGCTATTCTGGGCCCTGCTAAAAATAGTTTGCTGTAAATATCCACTGCCCTCCCCAGGGCCGCAACCAGAGCTGAGCGGCCGCCCTCCGTGAACCCCCGAGGGCAGACTCCATGGCCCAGTTCCCGCAGCTCTCCCAGACCTGTCCCCACCCTCACACATGGTCAGGACCCACCTGTTTCTACCCCTGGGCCTCGCATGTGTGCCCTGCCCAGCGCACCCTAAGCCTGCCCGCCCCTGCCACACACCCGCTCCAAGGGCCCAAGCCTGATGGCTGAGCCCGGCCTGGCCCGGCCCAGCCTCTTGGCGTCCTGTGGGGAACACTGGAGAGGGAGCAATGGACAGGACCCGTGACCCACAGCTACATCCCTTCCCAAATGGTTTCACAGAGAAGCTCCCATCTGCCCAGCTGTCCAGCAGTGGACACTGTGGGGAGCTGCGTCTCAGCAGGCAGGCCCTGCAGGCCCTCCTCCCACAGACAGGGCAGGTCCCGCTCGGCCCCAGGGCTCACTGCGCGGCCGGCCCGGGCCTGCCCGCCCCTCCGCCTGGCTCAGCCCCAGGACTCACTTGTTGAAGAGGTTCAGCCCGATGCGGTAGTGGCGCTTGCGGATGACGTCGTTGCTGAAGGCCGGCGAGTCCCAGCTGTTGCGGGCCTCCTTGTGGTAGGTCTGCTTGCTGAGCGTGGGCTCCCGCACGCTGTCCCTGGACGAGGACTCGGAGCTGCAGTTGATGGTGTCGTTGGAGTTGGACGTGCTGTTGATGCTGTCGTTGTCCCCGTCGGAGTAGTCCGACTCAGACTTGCTTTGCCGATTGGCTGAGCCATTGATGGCCAGGTGACTCTCCAGGGGCCTGGGGGGCCGGGGCCGCAGCTCGGGGTCCTCCCGGGCCAGGCCCTTGGGTGCGCCACCGTGGGAGCCGTGCTTGGGGCTGGCCGGCTGGCCTCCCAGGCTGCGCTCATAGGCGCTCTGCCTCTTGAGTGAGCCGCGGTCCGAGCGGTCACTGAGGTCCACCGAGCTGTCGCTGGGAGGCTCAATGGTGAGCAGGGGCAGGTGCTCCACCCGCAGCCGGGGCTCCTGCCGCTCCAGCGACGGAGTGCTCCGGCAGCTCGTGTCTGTGTCGGCCTTGTCATCCTTGTGGGCCAGGGCCCAGTAGTCCTGGCCGGCACCCCCGACCCGCAGGCGCAGGTCCGCCTCGGTGCTGGGAGGCCTCTCCCCGGCGGGCGCGAGCGGCAGTGGCGGCGACAGCTCCTCCTCGTCGATGTACAAGGTGACGTCGCTGTAGGAGGCGGTCATCTCGTCCAGCTTGTGGTGGTCCATGCTGTGCAGGGCGGCCTTGGGCTCAGCGTCCCGGGCCCTCGCCGCCTCCGGGGTCGGCACCTCCTCGGCATGGAGGCTCCGGCAGTTCAGGGCGTCGTCGATGGACTCGGCCAGAGACTTCACCTGCCGGGAGAAGGCGTCCTCCAGCTCCGTGATGGCGTCGGCGAAGTCACTGGAGGGGGCCGGAGACTTGAGGGCGGGCTCCCCGAGGTCTCCGCACTCGGAGGGCACCAGGGCGCCCAGCTGCGCGCCATCGTTGGTCAGGGAGACCTGCTTGCCCTCGAAGTAGGAGCTGTGCACTTTCTCGGGCCCCTCAAAGGAGAACTGCATCCTCATGTTGGACAGCACAATCCGGCGGGACATACGGTTCTCCGACATGGAGCTTCGGAGGCGCTCGAAGTTCTTGTTCATCTGGTACTGGCGGAACGCCGTTTGGATGGTGCGGGCTGCATGGCGGGTCACGAGGCGGCCCCCATACTTGCGTTCTAGCATCTCCACCTGGCGGGGGAAGGAACGGGAAGTGAGGCCAAGCCTGAGTGCTGGCCTGGCGATGCCTACCCAGTGCAGGGGCCCGGCCTGAGAGGACCTGCCACAGGCCACAGTTGGCTCGAACAATGGTTGGTGTACATTCCAAGACAAGATGGAGAAACCCCATGTTTGCCAGGCTCCCACCTATAATCCTACTCAGGAAGCTGAAATCTGAGGATCCTGGTTTGAAGCCAATTTGGGCAGGAAGAGACTCTTATCTCCAATTAACCACCCAAAAGCCAGGAGCTGACCTGTGGCTTGAGTAGCATAGCACCAGCATTGAGCAAAAAAAAAAAAATCTCAGGTCCTGGGCGGGCAGGAGGGCTGCGTAGGCCGCCAGGGGGCAGGGCCTCCGCCTCGCTCTGCTGCAGTGGCCACACCTCACCCCGCTCTTCTGCTCTTCTGCCTGAGAACCCTTCGGTGACATCCTTCCAGGGCATCTCAGGCCCAGGGCCACCAGCTTGGGCCCAGGCTCGCTCTAGGGCCTCTTCTCCTGCTGTCCCTGTACCTTGAGGACCAGAGCCACCTGCTACCTGAGCCCTGCCCAAGTCTGTGTGTGCGGGTTGGGGTCAGGACTGCAGGGAGGCAAACCAGAGCTCTGGGAGAATCACAGGGCCTCTCCCCGCCTCTCCCCAGGCACACACCACCCCAGGCGCCCCTAACCCATCCCAACTCACCACTCACTCCTGGGGCTTGAACCCAGGGCCTGGGCACTGTCCCTGTGCTCGTTTTGCTCAAGGCTAGTCTTCTACCACTTTAAGCCATAGTACCATTTCCAGTTTTTTTGGTAGTTAACTAGAGATAAGAGTCTCATGGACTCTCCTGTCTGGGCTGGCTGGCTTTGAACTGCAATCCTCAGATCTCAGACTTGAGTAGCAAGGATTATAGGTGGGAGCCACCAGCACCCGGTCAATCACTATTTTCCTAGCCAGAACTGACATGAGGCCCCCATCTACTACAGCACTAGGACCAGGGAAAGCTTAGCTACAGGCTGAGCCAGGGGACATGACCCTCCTGAGACCCCGCCCACAGCGCCCGGCCCGAAGGGGTCCCCAGGGGGGAGGCATGCGGCCCAGGACCCCCGGGTAGCGGTGGTGGCTAGACCCCCCTCTCCCAGGCCCTCTCATACAAGGGACAGTGAACAGAGTGAATGAGAATGAGAAGTCTGCCCTCCCACAGGGCAGAGCTGTTGGCGCTTAGTGACTGGGGACCATCCTTGATGTGCACCGGGCCCCTGCTCTCAGGGACAGGAGAACCCCGACACCCACGTGGCTCCTTTGCTGCCGGGACTCTGCGCCACTACACCCCATGTGGGTCTCACGAGCACGGGCCACCTGCCCCCTTTCCGCCTTGCCTGGCCCGCCGGGAAGCTCCACAGGCAGGAAGTGCTACGTGACCGTCACCTCCTCCCTGTCATCTACCGACCCAACACGCGCTACGCTCATTCCTGCCTCAGGGCCTTTGTACCTGCCATCCCTTCTTCCCACAACTCAGCCGCCCTTCATCCACTCCGGTCCGCTCCCCAGCACACAGTCCGTGTCGGGTACCCACAGACACTTGGCTACTACAGGAGGAATGAGAACCAGCGGCTGCAGCACACGAGCCCTGAACTTGGGCCCCTGTGAAGCCTCGACCTCTCGTTTCTATTTTAAGGGTGCCACGGAGACCTCTTTGGTTTTAAACACGCAGTGGGGCTGCTTGGGCACCCTGCACCGCAGCCTCTGTTCACTCCTAGTCCTTCTCGGGGCCCACTGTGCGCACGCTGGGGGCCCCCTGGGGGCCACGTGGCAGGGTTGCTTTGCACACAGGCATTCCACACACCCCTAATGTGAGCCTCTCCCTTGACCAGGGCCCTAGAAAGCTGTTGGCATGGTGAGCACCTCCACTCAGGCAGCTGGAGGAGGACTAAGGTGCCCAGTGCTATCCCCCATCTGGGCCCTGTCCCCTGGGCCCTAAGGACCCGTGTCCTGTGACGCTGGCTGTGGACTGAGACACCACACTCTCCAATCTCAGCCACACAAACACGGACACCACAGAAGAGGCTCTGGAGCCGTTCCCAGCCAGCTGCCTCCACACTACACCCCTCCCACATCTCGGGGCCAGGCTGGCAGAAGGTTCTGGGTCACCTGGAAGAATGAAGCAGGCCCCGGTCTCGGTGGCACACCTCGGCTGGAGTTCTGCCAACCAGGGGGACCCTGCGCTGGCCCCGGGCCACTTACCTGCTTGTCCTGCAGGTCAGAGGAGAGCTCATAGCTCTCGGACAGAGACCGCGAGCGCTTGATGGCCTCCTCTTCCGCCTGCTTGCGCAGGATGGAGGTGGAGTGCTGCAGCTTGGGCCTCCGCGTGCGCTGCTGCCCCGGTGGGCCCGGGTACAGCCCGTAGGCTCCCACCGACGCGTGCTCGTAGTGGTCCGGGCTCAGGCTTGAACCGGGCACCAAGGGGCCCTGGTGGTAGGCGGAGGGGCTGTCCAGGGATGTGCCGGCCTCGCTGGTGGGCACCTCGCCCTCGACGCTGCAGAGGGGAGAGGCTCCGTGAGCATAGCAGAGCCCAGGGCTCGGCAGGCGCAGCCGTCCATGCTCCTCGCTTCCCTCCCCGCCTCCTTCCTCACACAGGCCAGCCTGGCGTCTTGTGGGATTCCTGCAGGCAGGTGCTCAGCAGATACCCAACGAGCAGGACCTGATCCCTGAGCCACCTGCCAGTAGCCCAGCAGAGAGGATGGACCGGCCCTTCCCAGTTCACCATGCTGCCCCTGCCTAGAGCCCGGGGTGCTGAGCAAACACACCTCTGTCCACGTCGAGCAACTCAGCCCTCTGTGCCTGAACACAGCTGCCGGTCCCCGGGCAGCCTACGACCGGGGAGTCACAGCCACTCCCAGAGGAACGCTGCTTGGGGCAGGGCTACAGAGAAGCTGGTGCCACTGCCAGGCTGGGCTGGGCCCTGCTCTGCGGTGGGCAGGGCTACAGCAGGGCCCAGGCAACAAGCATGATGTCAGAATGGGCATCATCCACCTGGAGGGGGGCTCTGGGCCTGGGGAAGGGGCACGAAGGAATGTTCTGGCCGTGCCAGCTCAGAATTCCCACCGTGAGCAGCTTTGGCCAGCAGGCTCTGGAGGGAGGGAGGAGGGGGGGAGAGCAGTCCTCCAGTGCACCCTCACCAGGAAGGGAAGGGCTGGGGTCACCACAGCCGGCACTTCCACCCCCGGGCCCAGGACCTCAGTCCTTCCTCCCAAAGCAACTCCAGCTGTGTACAACGGTCACCACCAGATGCCAAGTCCTTGTGAATGGCCCTCAGGTTGTACAAAGCAGCAGCCTTTCCGAACTCCACAGCAGACCCAACTCAGACCACCCTGATAAGAAAGGAAATAGCGAGGTGGTCCCTGGCACAAGGCCGCCTCCTAGGGGCTCTCGGGCAGGCCCAGGGACAGCAGCCGCACGCAGGCCTCTCCCCACCTAGCTAGGTCCTTTCGGGACCTAGGAACAGTGCCACTCAGAAGCCACACAGTAGTAGATACCGAGAAGCTGTTCTTAATAGAGCTTATCATACTGATAAACAAAAAGATGCCATGTTTCTACTTCATGATAGGTTCACTGAGTATGGTGGTTGGCAGGTGGCTCCAATGTGGACACATTTCAAGTCTCTGTGCACAAGTCTCTAGCTGAGACCTGTGGGTAAGGGGGGGCCAGGCTGGCCCCCGCCATCACTGCCTCTGCATCTCAACACCCCAGCCAGCAGATGGGGCCCTCAACAGCACCCCGAATTCACCTCTCCCAGATGCCCAGCCACATGCAGAGCAAGGAATGAGGTAGGACACCCTGCAGCTCAGTTTCTGGGGTGTTCTTTGGATGTTCTCTAAGGAGATGCTCGTGGGCCAGCAGCCCTCTTCCAGACATTTAGTTAAGACATAAGCACCTCTGTGAACCCAGCTCTGCAAAGGCTCGGGTAGGAAGACTGCAGCAGAGATGGGCCCTATCCAAAACTACCTCAAAGCAATAGAGCTGGGGGCCTAGATCAAGTGGTAGGGTACCTTCCTAGCAAGTACTGCCAAAGATAAGAACAATACGCAAAGGGGTAAATACAAGGATTTCCACAGCAGTGAGATTTTTCTAAGTACAGAAGATCGGAGATAATGTAAACACTCATCACCAAAGGACTTAATTTAATTCTAAGTCAGCATCACAAAATTAATGTTGAGACGGGTAAAGATCTGGTCTGACAGCTGTTCTTCTAGAAGAGACTTGGCAATGGTTTGGGTGACTCTAAGATCAATGGGAACTGATCCGCCACATAGCTGAGCCAGAAACAAAAATAGCTCTGCTATAGTTGTCAGATCACACACAAGACTTGAGTCCAGAGCCAGGGTGGGGCGTGCTCACCTGCCCAGACTCCTGAAGACCACGGGTGGGACCCCAGTGCCCTGCCTGAACAGCAACGCACGGGGATGGACTCCAGTTGCCACGCCCACTTTACAGAGCTTGAGGTTTCCTACCAGGTGCTGGGACTGGGGGCTAGGAAGAGCAGCCAGCGGGAGGCGGTGGGCCGTTCACCAAGCCTGGGCAGAATGACAAGCTGAGGCTGGAGTGACTTTCTCCAGGGGATGAACTACATCTGGTCTATACTGCCCAGCACAGGACACTCCGGAGGGAGAGAGAGCTTTCTGCCCGTGGAGGTGCATGCCTGGCAGGCTCTAACTCCACCAGGAGCATGGTGCCAAGGCCTCTTGGCCCAAAGGGAAGCCCCAGCACCACAAAGGCCATTTTGTGTTGTTACCTTTGCTGTGTTTTATGGGCTCAGCTTAACTCCACTCTCCTGCACACTGGCGTTCGTGTGTGCGTGTGTGTGCATGTGTGTGTGTGCGCGCTCTGCCCAGCTACCACGAGGCCCAACACCCTCAGACCTCAGCAGACAGAAACTGGGGAGGGGAGAGGAGGGGGGAGAGCTTCTCCTTATGGGATGGACTGTCCTCTGCACATTGCGTTCCAGAGCCCCGGCCAGCCCTCCCCCACCCCCACGCCCTGGCCACATGCGGGCCCCCGAGGGGGCTGAGCACTGCGGGGGCCACCCCTGCCCCTCAGGAGGGCAGCTCCCTCCCTACCCTGCCTCTCTCCCTCAGAGCCAGCTCCACACGTGGGGTGGAACTTTGGTTCCACTGCTCTCCCCGTGTGGCTGGGAGAAGGAAGCCCGTGCCTCAGTGTCTACTCCTGTACAGAGCGGGTAGTTAGCGGGGTGACTTCACCTGTGCTCCGCAGAGCTGACCCGGGAGGCCCCTCCCAGAGAGTGCTCCGCTCACAGGAGGCACGCGCTCTCCAACCCGCACAATGCAAGTGCATATGCTCACACGCACACATGTTCACGCGGACACATGCCTGTGCATGCGTGCACATGAACGCCTATGTGCCCACATAAGCACTCACGGGCTCACCTGCCTCTCTGTGCACACTGCTCCTACCCCTCCTTTCAGGTTTTCTGCCCAGGTCATGATCACTCCCACCCACCCACCAAACACCATGAGAGGCCTGGCTCAGAGGTGCCACCTCTTGACCATGTGCCATCAGACCCGGGAGGAGGGGAGGAGGTGCCCTGCCCAGGAGGCCTTCAGCTCACCCGCCTGGCTGGCACATCCACATCACCCTGCTCCTGCTGACCCCACGTCCACCCCGTCCTCACAGCCCTCAGGCTCAGCCTGGGGAAGAGCAGCATGCGAGGCACAGGTCTGGGAGAAGGACGCAGACTCTGCCTCCTGGTGCTCTCAGAACACTGTAGGCCAGGACCGACCACGGAGCCCCCTGGAGCCCCGGCAGCAGAGCCGTGAGCTGCTCCTGAGGATGCCCCTGTCCTGCGCGGGTGCCCGGCTCTTGGTGCAGTGACTTCCCCGCAGGGCACAGCTGTCCACATGAGCAACTGCTCTCCCTGGGGCTCCACTTCTAGACTCGTGGACCCCATTTCCTCGGCCCTAGACAGCTCACCGAGACTGGTGGGCTGCCCCTCTCTAGCTATGCCACACAGGCCTTCGGCGTCCCTTCTCCTTCCCTCCCCGGCCGCGCCTGGGTGTGCCCAGGAACAGCAATGCGGCCCCTGCTTTTTCTGCACAGCCTGGCAGCAGGAGCCGGTGAGGGTGGAGTGAACAGGCCCCCGCCTTGCCTGGCATCCTGAGGGGCAGGACCAGAGCGGGAGGTCACACTTCAGAAAGCTGTTCTGCCCTGCAAGTGCATCTGGCTGGATGTTAACCTACACGGCGTCTAGCTGTGGACTGGCTCTCAGACGGCCCTCCTCGGCCACCTGGCCCCCCTACCCAAAGAGGGTGCCCCCGTGTGATGTGGCCTCCCAGCCACAGGCAGCCAGGCTCATTAATCCCAAGACTCCAGGGACACCTGCCCCTGGAGGCCAGCAGCACCCAGTGGTCAGGTGGCAGATACCTCCGAGGCCACAGCCCTGCAGTGGTGGCCCCGATGCAGGCTCCAGCTCCACAGAACTCCAGTGCTTCTTCTGTAGAAGACAGCGGCCCCCCAGTTTCTCCCCAGGCCTCAGCTGTGGCTAGGGTGTAGGCCACATACTGCAGCTGTCCAGCCCGGGGTCCCTGGCACACTGGGATAGCCGAGAAGAGAGCCATGCGTGCCACACCCCTATGTACACACGTGTCAGTGTAGTCATGCACACCTGTGAGCATGACATGCGTGGGACTGCACGTTTACATGTGTGTGCACTCACATTTGTGTGGACGTTTGTGCAATCTGTCTTGCACATGTATATACCTGGGTATGCATGTATGCAGGCATACAGACACAGTCTTGTCTACATATGTAGATAGATATACATCGGTGTGTGCATGCACGTTACAGTTACATTTGTGTGTATGCCTGGCCCTCCTGACCTGTGGCTCCCTCAGCATGGGTTTTCAACCGTCTGCTTGACTGAAAATACCCAGGTAACAGTGTGAACACACATATGTTTAGTCTAACAAGTACTTGCTCAGCTCTGTTCCCAGGGAGTGTGCTTCTCGCTGGGCTCGGGAAGAGAGGACTGGAGCAGCAGCTTGTGAAACCTAGAACACTCGACTGCGGGGCCCGAGCGGCTCCCGGTAGCACCATACCCATCATGGACTCTGCTGAGTCCTCATCCTTGACCGGAGCCCCCACGGGCTGTGATTAGAGACTTCCATGGCCAAAAGTCCAAGGTCTCCTTCCCTCACTGACCCACTCACGGCTGGAGCAGGACAACATGGCACCATGGCATCTACCAGCGGGGTCTGGGCTGGGGTCAAGTCCCATCATCCGGCTCCCCGGAGCGGGAAAGGTGGTGGATCAGGTCCCAGGGGCCTTGGCTTGGGGAGAGGACCTTCCAACAGGCAGGCAGAGGTGACCGCGTGGGCATTACACTGCACAGGGCGAGCTCCTCCCCTGCCCCCTTCCTGGGCCTCAGGGGCCCCTCCAGCCTGGCACAGCCCCACAGGGCTCTGTTCCTCTAGGGTCCTCCCTGCTCCTCCCCAGGACCTCGGCCAGGCCCAGCTGGGCCAA